TGGTTTTAGACAATAAATGGGAAAATAATAGTGTCGGTGCTGCCACTCTCAAGTAAATGTGAATCCCCCCTGCTTTATTTCTCTTTTGACCATTCAATCATGACTTGTTACTTCACCTACAGTTACCATGCATATGGCACTTTGATCCACACAAACTAACCTTCATCATGTGTCCATTTTTTCGTCTCAATTTATATGATGTGATTTGACTAGCAGCGAAATTTAAGAAATTTGAGCAGATTTTTGAAATTTGTGATTTAAAATACGTCATAATTATTTATATGACTTATTTATATCATTAAGAAAGAAATTGACATTTTAAAATTTAATAATTACTAAATATAAAAATATATGAGTGTTCTTTTAGAAAAATATGTCAAATTACTGCCATAATATTATGTCTCTTTTGTGGGAGAGTTATCAGATTGCATTAAGGTTGCATTATTGTAGTCACGTGAATTTGCTGGAACTGTACATTAAAGCCCATTATTTTCTTTTGAATCCTTTTTTCAACAACAATAATAGAGGGTCAGGTGAAACAAAAAAAATGTATACAATATCAAAACAGTTAGAATTGTTTTTGCCCTTTATACTTATCAAAAATGGAACATTTTGGTCTTTATAATTTATTATAGCTAAAAACACATGATGTTAGTTATCTTTAACGATTCTTGTTGTTTTCAGAAGTACATAAATCATTTAAAGGAAAAAAATAACCATGCATCGGATTTTCTTCGAATCATTTCACCCGGTTAGACAATTGTACCCATGAGTGGAGCTAAGTGGGGGTTTGTGGGTTCGGACAAATCCAGTAAAAAAAATTTGTAAATCCTGTATTTATAGTGAAAAACTAAATATATATATATATATATAGTAATTGTGAACCCCTAACAAAACTAACTGTCAGCTCAGTAATAAAGAAAGGGTCGTGGAAATTCCAGATGTTTGATTCCTTTTTGCCGTCATTATTCGAAATAAAAAAATGAATCAATATTTATGTCTGCATAGAAGCCTCATTTTGCACTCTTTGTTGTTGAAACCTTAGAGTTGAGATTTTTCTTAAGATACAGATAGAGAAAACGAATTGGTAGAAGTTATTTCTGACTTCAAAATAAATGACTTATGTACTATGAATTCTTATGAGTCAATTCTGTCAAAGAATATAATTAAAATATTATTCTAAGCAGGCTCATAAATATAAATGTTATTTTCCTCTGCTCAGTGCACCAACCGTTCATTGAATATGATAGTTATATTATTTCTTTCGCCTTTGTATTATTTGTCTCTTTTTTAGTCTATTTAGAAAAAAAATCTCTTTTTTTTTTGTAACACTTAAATTTTAACTTTTCATATGACATATTCAGACCATAAGATTAAATAACATTTTGATACATTTTTACATATTTTTAGTTTAAAACCAATTTTTTTATTTTTTTGTTAAATTCTATATCAAATTAAAATAAGACAAACAAATTAAAATTCACGGAATACATATTGATGTAACAGAAGTTACGGAGATAATGAGGTTTTGTCATTTTAATTCGGCTTAGGGCCCCCATTTGGTTGTCTAATGTAGGGCTACACACCAAACCAATTAACTTTAGCTTTTTGATTAAATAAAACTTAAATAATTGGAACAAGGTTGTTGTAATTATAAGGCACTATGGTCCCTCGATAATCATAAGTTGTTTTCTTGAAAGGCAAATTACATCGCATTTTCCCGGGCATTTCGCCTTAAATTAAGACCCCCACATTAGAAATTAAATTAATCAACATAGTACCAATCTTTACATAAATGGACAGTAGAGTACATTGAATATTTTAAAACACAGCAACATACATACATATTTACTCAGTGGTTGAATTGAAACAATTCATGTCAGGTTACTTACTGTCCAGTGTCACTATATACAAAATGCATCAGCTAGACTTGGCGGACTAGTAAAGGAGTAAATTACTAATCATTCAATATTTTTGTGTGTGAAGAATTTCAGGAATCAGTAGTTGGATTGGGACATTGAAATAAGACGATGAACCAAGAAATGAGTGGTGTTGAGGATCAGAAGCAGCAAGATCAAATGAAACGTGTAAATGGGGTTCATCATAATGAGGATAAAATAGATTATGTGTTTAAGGTGGTGGTGATTGGAGACTCTGCTGTTGGGAAAACTCAGGTTCTTTCCAGGTTTGCTAAGAATGAGTTCTGTTTTGACTCAAAATCTACAATTGGTGTTGAGTTTCAGACTAGAACTGTATCTATTCAGTCTAAAGTGATTAAGGCTCAGATCTGGGACACTGCTGGACAAGAAAGGTTTGCCTCTCTCTTCTTCTCATTAGTAGTATTAGTAATTCATTCATTCATCTTCACTTCCACTTAGTTGTTGGATGTACGAACAAAGTCCTAAAGAAGTCGCTAAAAAGAAAATGAAGCTACAAATAAGGTTGTGTGAGACCTTTTGAGCTGAGTTTGGCCTAGAAGTGGACAATTTGAGTTGTTTTAGCTCAACATTAGTTTCATGATGAGTACTGCTATACGCACTGTGTGTTCATTTTTTCAACCCAATAGGAACTTGCATTACAACACTTGGTCTATGGAGTTGCCACAACTGAAAAATCACTATAAAATGTTCGTTGGTTATTTCCATAGATACTTCGATTCAATATGTGAGAATCAAAAATAGTAATGATTTCATATGAAAAAATTATGAAGTTTTCTACTATTTCAGTGAGAATCTGTTTTCCACTATGCATTTTTTTAGTGAGCTTGTTCGGTGAAAAATCATGTTCT